CGGTGTTATATACTTACTATTATCAAAATCGATATTCATTTTTACTAGAAAATACGATATTGAAGTTTTTCTTTTTATGTGTTATTATGTTATTTGTATTCTCTCATTGAATTAATCCTGTCATTGTCAAAAAGCAACAAATGATAATTGAAAAAGATGTAGATAAATGAAATTGATTAACCTTCACAGAATCATTGGCTACTGTCTTTTTTTTCCATGAAGTATTCGATATATGAATGCAAATGAAGATATACAAATGCATAATTTTCTAGATTGGATTTCAATCAGGAATAAATTGATGCAAATTTACTACTTTCAGCAAAATAAAAGCAGCCATCAAGCTGCAGTTATCCAATCTCTTGCAAAAAAAGGTATGTAAAAAATATTGAAATGATCATCTTCTATAATAACAAATTATTATATAATTATTATATACACATATATTGTTTATTTCAAGAATTTAGATTTTTAAAATATACATACATAGCTCTTCTCTCTATCACATTAAATTAATGAAATTTTTTTACCAATTTGTTCTATTTGTCTTCAATGAAAATCGTTCAATGTTCTAAATAATTATCAATTTGATTAAGCTTCAGAAAACAAAATATTCTTTATTATTTCAAGCAAGTTTTATATTAAGCTATTTTCAATTTCATCTGGCATTAAAAAGATTTGTTATTAAAAGAAAATTGTATAAATGATGATCTATCTTGGAATGATAAATGAACAAATTTTTATTTTTACATATTTATTAACAATCTAGATACCTCCAATGGATCCATAAATGTGTGCCGCTGGATGTATATCATAAATAATAACTTTGATACCATTAATTTTCAAACTAAGATAATACATTTGAAACTTCATCAATCTAGTTTCTTTAACCAGACTTATTTTTGGCATAGTTCTTAAAATTAGGCACCATGTACATGGGTGATACCAGTATTGCTGAAGCGATACACAAGAGCGAAACTATCTTTTCCTGCAACATAAATTGTCGTCGTTAATATAAATCTCGTTTGAAAATTCATATATACGTGGTGATGATCTTTACGTGTACAAAAGCACAAGAAATTTTATATTACAAAAAATATTGTGAACTATTACACAAAATTTTATATTTCTTACGGACATTGTACATCTTTCTATGAAAATCGGCCAAAGAAATCTTATATTCTTGTATTAACGTGTAAAAATATAATCTTTCAGTTCTACAAAGGAGGTTAACTGTGCACCGGATCTCTCTTCCTCTTACGTAACTTCATCTACGAGAGAAACTATACTCACAGTAGTGGACATCTTCACCCTCGGCGGCGTGCTGAGGATCGTACTGTGATACGTCCTAGCAATATCGCCCGTCAAACGGGATGTGCTTATCAAGCTCTTGCGAATCGCGAACATCTTTACTCTTGTTACTTGCCAAACTTTATGGGTAATGTGGAATAGCGTCGCCGAGAGACCTGAAAAAACACCTAGGTGTATAGATTCTCAAGATGTGCCACGGTTAAAGTTCGAGATGAATTTGCAACGTTGTGTTCGAAAATCTACTCATCGGAGTAGCATCTGATTGGACAAAAGGAGAAAAGATTTCTTTATTCTGATTGGTCGAATAGATTTTCTTGACGAATAATTTTCGAACGCAACTCTGAAACGAATCGTCGAAATTATGCAGTTTGACATGTGATCACACATGTGACGTGTGATGTGTTTACGTAGCATAGATTTTTTTTTTTTTCTATGTGTGTTTATATTTGTCAACATGTCTTTAGAAAATAGTACTCACCTATTATAAGTTTATTTACTGTGAGAAAAAATGGAACAAGTGGCGAAAATCAATATTTTTGAATTATCATGCTTTTGAAGTATCGGAGAGATTAATTATAACTACATGAAAAAGAAACGTGCGAGAGACTTACAAATAAGATCGTTGGTTCCATCTGAACAAAGTTTCAACATGGTAATTTCGTTTTGATAGAGAAGCTCATTCAGCCATTTATTACAACATTCTGCACAATTTAATTCACACGAATCTACAATCTACGAAAGTATAGAAGAGATTGAGAAGTTGAAAATTGACAAATCGTCTGCACATCGACATTTAAGAAAGTCTTGAATGCAGTTTGGAACTTAATATTTGGATGAATCTATCAAGAAAAATAAATTTACCAGGAGAATTCAATAATTATTACAATAGAAACTTGTTTCATAAGATATAACTTGCCATATTTCTTTATTTAAAGTGAAAAATGGATGTTGTTAGTCCTACTCCTCAAGATCTACAGAGGAAACTTTATTTTCTGGTGGAACAGTTGCAGCATATGGCTGGAGAGCTCCCACCAAAGTATCAGATGCGTCTGCCATACGAATTACTGTCTGGTTTAGCAAATTCATTATTAAACGATACCATCTTTGAGATAGTGAAGGGACTAATGGAAATACAGCATGTCACAGAGAAACACCTCTTCCAACAACGACTTCAGCTTTTGAATCAACAAAAGATTGAGTCTCAAGAGACGTTATTGTCTGCGTCAGCGACAGACGAAGAGCTATTGGCAATAAAAGCAGCTCTGCACAAGAAGCACAAGGAGGAATTGAAGCAATTGGACATGAAATTAGTGTTGCAATTGGATCAAAAAGTGGCAGACCAGCAGGGCATACTAGAGAAGGCTGGAGTACCTGGATTCTATGTGACTAACAATCCAATGGAGATTCAAGTGCAAATGAGACTGTGCGATTTCATAATTAGGCTCAGCAAAATGGATATACCCACTTGATATAGATATATAGTCACTATTTATCATTTATCTTATATAATAATAAGCATTTGTCATTATTTTTTGTTATTACTATTTATACTGATTATTATTTGATATTTAATTCTGAAGAGGGAAGATTGTGAAGATTTATTATAAAATACTTTATTTAAGTCAAGTTCTTATTTAAATACAATGCAATATTCTACATATTTTATTATATTAACAAGTATTAACACACTAAAATATACAGCCGTCAACTTAGTATAATAAATAATTATTGTATCATCTATATCTATATATGATACAATACTTTTTTTTATAATAGAAAAGTATTCCTGAGAATTACATAGATATCATATATGTGATAGAGAAAAATTAATTTTTAACAATGAAAACGTAAGTTGTGTACTGAAAAGATATAATATCCTATATAATATTTAAAAAAAAAGTAGTAGATCTCTCTAATAAGTTTCTTACACAAAGTAATATAATAAAAGAAATTTTTTTCTCCTTTTAAGATATTAATTTTTTTTTTTAAATTATAACATTGTATTTAATAATATATACACATATTATTTATAAATAAATATAAGTAATTATATCACTAAAATAATTGCTTATTGTTCATAGAGTAATATTCGTGTTATTTACAAATATAGAAAACACTTTGAGGGTATATCCAAATATACCTATACTCCTATCAAAGAATTACTAATAATATAAAATATATTTTTTTTAATTTTATGGAATATGTTTAATTCAAAAGATTATGCTTTTTAAGATCACATAGATGATCTATTCCTATTCTTTCTTTCTTTTTTTTTTTGTCTTTTTTTAAGTAATATATGAATTACCTTTTCTTATAATATTGGGTTGGAACGGAAAGTTTGTGCCGTTTTTTCGGTCTTCATCCGTTAGTAAAAAACGGAACGAATTTTCCGTACAATCCAATATATTATTATATTCTATACAAGAAATAAAATATAAAATAGAAATTTTGTCAGCAGTATACTGTTATACATTTAACTGTATATTGATTGTGTGGATGAAATGTGAGTACTAATTGGTTTCTCAGATTGAAGAGGGTTAGTTTTGTGCGTTTGTTCGAAACATATACGATAAACATCATCGAATGTTGAAGTAAAATGCACTTCTAGACCATCTGTAATATATTTAGGCAAGTCGTTGAAATCTCTCTTGTTCTCCTCAGGTAAAATTATGCATTTAACATTGACACGCTTTGCCTTAAAAAAAAAAATATATATATATATTTTATTAATTTTGTCCCCCAAATTATATATAGTATTATAATAAAATTA